CCCAACTCTCCAGCCTGTCCAGATCAAATGTAACAGTATCCCACCTGTCCATATTTTTTCTTTACCTCTCTTGGCAAAGTATTGACCTGATGCAAGAGGTAATTTCCAAAGTCAATTTAACATGAATGAACTTCAGATGTGGGCTAACAAGGCTGAAGGACAAATTCCACTGTAATAGTTTTAATGTGCTGCGATGGTCAGGACAGCGTCTGTGAAGTGGCGTGCAGTGTTCTGTATGTAAAATAAGTGGGTGCAGCTGGAAAGCATTACCTGTTCTCCAGTGTGAGAAGGTGTGAAAAGCCCTGTAGATGGGGCTTGAGGATTTGTTAGAACTGTTTCCCGTGTCATAGGCAGGCAGGTGCCTTCACTGAAGCATGGGTACAATTTGGCGTCTTCCACATTGGAGCTGCGTCGCTGGCAATTTGGGTTCTTTACCCATCTTTAACATCTCAGTGTTGGGGTACTGTTTAGGGAGTGAAACGTATTGATTTCTAGAAGAGAGATCCCACGGCTGTTCACCAGTAGATCCTCCTGCAGCTGGACTCCTGTGGGACTCACCCATCTTCTCCAAAATGTTGTGACCCGCTTTGGGAAGTGCTGCGCTGGAGAAGCAGAAAAGCATTGGGTGCTGGTCAGGGATCCATCTCCTGGCACGGCAAAGTGCGCTTTCAGACTTGCTGTGGGCCTTGGATGTGAGGGCTGTCACCATCAGCCTGTCCACAAATTCTGTGATGTTTTGTTCCTGCTAATACCGTTGCTTTTAAACTTTGATTTTTAAGTCATAAACAGTGCTCTTAGACTTCTACCGTGGTGTGTGTTCTGCCTTCTGGGGCACCTCAATTTACAGCACCTGTTACTTAAGCATCTTGTACTTAATAACTCCTGTTCCTAAAGCTGAGTTTCTGTTAAAGATAACTGTGTTCTGCTGAGAAATTTTAAGTGTGTATAGTGCTGGTGAGCAGATGGAGAAGGATAAATTGAACAAAATATTGCCACAGCTGATAAAAATGAATGGGCTCTTCATGGATGTTTCTTTCAGGCTGTTAACAGAAAACACCGAAACAGCTGTTTCTGAACTAAATCTGAGTTAAAGGAGAATATTATGGAAGCTCCCATGATAGCCAGTTAATTGTTATGTTGCTGCAAGATAGTGTAATAGCAGACTACCCACAGATTTTCCTGCTTAGATTTCTCCTGCTGCTGTGTCTCTTGTTGCTGGACTATGTATGTTAAGAAAAGAAACCAAGGAGGAGAAATACAAGATTTAACAAACCGAAGCCTCTGGGTCAGCTGGGATTTTGGGACATGAACTCTCTTGCAGGTGGGAAGGAAGAGGTGCCATACCTGTGTCTGAGAGCCAGGTCTCTTCCATCCCAGCAGGTGGGAGCATCTCCTGGGTTAAATGGAGCCTCCAGACATTTCCTCTTCTACTTGAACTGATTTGACTTTAACCCTCTCCTTCCTAAAAGAATTTTCCTGTTGAGGATTCTCTTTAGCATTGAGCCTTCTCCTTTGATATCACCAGCTGTCTATGACCTGCTGCTGACAGAGAGGGATGTATGCCTTCTGGGCATAAATTGATTGCTTACCAGCCTCAACCTTGGAGTGTTAAATCAGGGGATTTCAAAATCATGCCCTTCTCTCCTGGTCTGCTTTCCCTTGTGAGGAATCGCTAACTTGATGTGGTGCCTTGTGGTGAATCCGACTTTTGTTTACGTCCCCGCTCAGAAGAGACTGAAAGCTCTTGGCAATTTTCTACTATCTCGTTCATCTCTTGGAATTATTTTCCTGCTGGACGTATTTTTCATGGGTGTGATTTTTGGGCAGTGCTGTGTGTGCTGCAGTCATAGCTCAGGAAGCTTCCTGAACAGGATTTTTTTTTAATTTTTTTTTTAGTTACCATGGTGTTGATTGGAAATAACTGCTACGCTTTCTGTTGGTTTCTTGGTTTAGAGTCCAGATTGGTCTAGAAAGCCTGGTGATAAGTATTCCTGACCCTCGTTAAACATGACTAGGATGATCTTTCCTGCTCCAGGGACAAGCTGTATGCTCATATTAATCTAACAGCTCTAACGTGAAGTTAAAACCATGCTCTTCTCCCCATGGGAAAATTGCCAAAGAAGCCAGTCGCCACCAAGCCATCTTCTTTGCCCTGTTAAATGCAGGAATCTTCACTCCAGTGTAGGAAATCCAATGCACTGCTCTCTAGTGCATCCGGACAGGGGAATCAGGTCTGTGGGCAGGACATGGTCTTAACCAGTTCAGATGGCAGGGTTGGACTTGAACTGAGGAGGCGTAAGCAGAGGGGACACAATCTGTCTTCTGTCTGTCGATTTTAACCCATCTACAGCAGGTAGCTGGTGCAGAGTTTGGTGGAATAAATTTGTGCCATGTTTTACAGTATTTCTGAAGTGGTTTAAAAACTACTTGATTGCTGTGTCAAGTCTGTATCTTTGAACTGATGATGACTTGTGTTATTTGCTAATTTCCAGGCTGCCAGAGCCGCAGAGGGAGAAGGCAAACAGAGATTCTTCACTCAGGATATCAACAACATCATACTGGAGTAAGTGCTGCCAGGAGAAAAGAGTGGGAAAGGAGAATATTAGGCAGAGTGGTTTCGGTAAATTCAGGAGGAGGTTTAGCAGGAGTTGTGGGAATGTCCTTATACAGGTCTTCCACACAGAACATGCCTAGGATAACATGAAAGTCTCCTAGAAATGACTTTCAGTTGAGATATGATGTATAACTGAAGTAAAAGAAAGTTGGGGGGAATGTATCCAGGCCTCCTGTTGTCAAGATGATGCTTGATATCCGTGACTTAAATGTGGTCACTTGACCTGTGATGGTAGCTTGATACATGAACAGTAAATCTCTCCCTGTCAGAGATGTCAGGCATGTCCTTTGCTATTTAAGTTATATGCTGTATGGAATATTTTATAACTGGGATAAGGCTGCTGGGTTCAACTGGCTTTCTGTGTGAATTGGAGGAACTCCATTACTGCTCTGTGTTTTCCGAGTCCCTCAATTACAGAATGCCACTGTTGCTTCACGCAGCTGTAGATAATGGTTTCATTCTTCTTCAAGTGCCTGGAGAAGACTGATGAATGCACACAGCTTTGTGATCATCGCAGTGTGATACTTACACAGAGGCTTTAATTTCATTAAGGTTTATCAAGGCACTTGAAGGGAATTGCCGAAGGGAAGTTTGGGAGTCTGTTTCCCTCTCGTTTCAAGTGGTGATTACCACCTTTCAGCATTCCAGTGCTGACTGCACAAACAGTCCTAATCTGTTGTCAAACTGATAACGTGAACCACATTCAGAAGAGATTTAGATAGATTTGTATGACTTTGCTGTAGAATCAGTTAGGGGTTTTTACACTTATTATTGACACTGAGAAGTGACCTAAAAAGCTGGTGTCCTCAGTTATATATAGCTGTGCAGATGGATTTGGCACATGCCGACCTCTCTAACCTACTCGCCGGGAAGTAAATTCAAGCCCAAGGGATAGAGTTTGATTCTATATTATTCGGAGCTAGACCGCCATAGTATCTGACACAAGCAGTGTGTACCTCTCATTTCATTGCCTGATGCTCCTGCACTTCAGCTTCCCGGAAGAACTGCAGAATAAATGAGACTGCTGACATCCTTTTGTTCCTTTTCCAGATGCTCTGAAATGAGATTCAAAGTTGTAGCTTGGGATAAAGGGTTCAAGACTCTTAATTCTAAAATCTAAAGAACAGGCATGTACTTTGGCTTGTGCCTTGTGCCTCTCTGCCTGCCTTGAGCTCCCCAGGTTGCATCAGAGTTGCATTTATGTTCTTAGAGAACCCCTGCACGGTCCCTGGTCAACACTGTGTCTGTCTTGTTCCTCAGCATCGAGCTGCAGACGCGGGAGCTGAACAGCCAGATCCGCTCAGGGGTGTACGCCCACCTGGCTGCGTTCTTCCCGTGCAGTAAGGACACTCTGGTCAAGCGCGCCCGTAAGCTTTATCTCTATGAGCAGGTGAGCGAATCTGACAGCACAACCCTACCTCGTGTGCACGTTACCCCGATCTCCAGGGCACGGTTGTTTAACGTGGTGGTGTCCTCTGCTGAGTGTGGTTCAGGCACCACATCATCTGGTGGGTGGATTCAGAACAAGTCTCCACCTGCCAGATTTGGTGTGGACCTTCAGTCTGGTCTGTGCTGTGCTCTAGGGTGGCCGATTGAAGGAGCCTCTGCAGAAGCTAAAGGAAGCCATTGGAAGGGCCATGCCAGAGCAGATGGCCAAGTACCAGGAGGAATGCCAAGCCCACACTCAGGCCAAGTTTGCCAAGTAAGCTCCTCGTTTGCTTGTTAGGCATCTGTAGCCCTTCTCAGCAGGTTCCCTGTGACCTGTAGGCCGCTCTGATGAAGTTTACCACCTATTTTTGTTCTGTAGTCAAAAATTGCTGATGGGCATTAATTGGCCTAATTATGCTGTGCGAGTTCTTTGTGCTGTCTATGGTGATGCCAACTGCAGCAGCACTGATGGGACCAGAACTTGGCTGAAGTGTTTTTGCCATGTCTTTGGAAACATGACAGTCAGAGAACAGTAAGGCTGGAGTAGTCCCATGGTCTCTATTACACAGTATTGGGAGGTTTCTTAACCTTGAGCACAACAGTGTTGTTCAGAGATACTTAATCCTGTCCTTGAGTCTCCAGGATAATGACTTCTGCACTATCTCTGTCTCCATTTTAGGATGCTGGAAGAGGAAAAGGACAAAGAGCAGCGAGATCGAGTTTGTTCTGATGATGATGAGGATGAAGAAAAGGGAGGGAAGCGCGTCATGGGACCGCGAAAGAAATTTCAATGGAATGATGAAATCAGGTTTGCATAATTTAGATATTAAGTGAACCTGTGACTTGTCTTATTCCATGCAGTTGGAAGTGAAGCATTCCAATGTATGTATCCTGTTTTCGGAGCAGTGCTGATCATCTGTAGTAATGGTCAGCTTGGACATTTGTGGCAGACTGTGCTGTCTGTCGAAGCCGCTATTGCATTTATTAAATCTCACTCTTCTGTACATTGCAAAACTAAGCTGATTTCAGGCACAGGCCAACTCTGAGACAAATGCTGAGGAGCCTCTGTGCTGAGGCCAAAAGAGAGGGACAGATCTTTGGGAAAGGAAGGAACTCGGCTGAATTGCTGAAATCCTACAGACTGGACTCTTAGCAAGACCAGATTGGTGGCTGTGAAAGCAGCTAAAGCTAACGGGGATTGCTGCCCCTGGCACCCCGGGCTCTGGCAAAGAACAGAGTGCTGGGTGAAGGGGAGAGTGACGAAGGATAAAATGAGCATCAATCCTGCTGTCTTTTTCATCTTATTCTGTAACAAATTGGGGTGCTGCTCCATAGATGGCTGATTCATTTACAACAAAGCAAGCTTCTCTTCCTGCCTTCAGTGAGAGTGCCTGCAGAGAGGTTCAGTTCTGCGGTTGTGGATGACACCTGTAATTCTGGCACTGATTTACTACCTCTGCTGTTCAGGAGATGAAAATGGGAAGGGGGTAACAAGGCTTTTCTCCCCTGGCGCATTGATGTGCTTGCACACGCAGAGTGAGGAACGTGCCTTTCCCTTCCTTTTTCGTGCGGAGGCAGTGCAGGGTCAGTTTTATTAGTAAGGTGTTATGCAGAGCCAGGCACGTCTTGGCATATTTATCCAGCCCCGGATAAACAGAATGACCTCCAACTGGGGAAAGTTAATCCACGTAACTGTATTTGAAATCTTCCTGTTCTTCAGGGAGCTGCTTTGCCACTTGGTGAAGATTAAGTTGGATGGTTATGACCTTGACAAGAATAAGGCTCAGTCTCTAGAGGATTATGTGAAGACCTTCCTAGATGGAGAGGTGAAGCCCCTTTGGCCAAAAGGCTGGATGCAGGCCAGGTGAGCAAGAATCAAGTTGTCCTGCAGGGATTCCTTGTCATAAGGGACCTCTGAATTAGGTTATGAGTCCTACCCCTGTTCAGAGACTGGCTAGCTTCAAAATTAGATCAGAGTGTGCAGGGCCTTGTCCTGTGGAGTTTTGGAAATCTCCAAGGAGGGAGATAACCCCAGCATCTCTGGGCCCCTGTTCTGGTACTTAATCACTCTTCATGAAATCTTTTCTCCTGATTTCCAATCAGAATTCTCCTTGTTGCACTGAACTGAATATTCCTTCTTTTTGCTTTTTACTGTGCACCTTTGAGAAGGGTCTGGCTCAATCTTCATCATGGCTCCCTGCCCCTCCCGCTCTTTAGGTAGTGGAAGAGTGCCATTAGATCCCTCCTCGGTCTCCTCATTTTCCAGGCTAAGCGAACCCAGTTCCCCCCAGCTCTCCTCATATGCCACTTGTCCCTGTTCCTCAGCCGTCTGGGTGGCTCTAGGCTCTCTCCAGTTTGTCGACAACTCTCTTGTATCGTGGGGACCCTGAAACTGGATGCCGTATCCAGATGTGACCTCACAAGTGCTAAACCAAGGGGAATAAGCACTTGAACTGCTGGCTGTGCTCTTGCCAATACCTGCCAGTACATAATTGGCTCTCAGCAGTACCCCCTTGCAGTGGTGGCTCATGTTCAGCTTGTCCACCAGGACCCCCGGGTCTTTTCCTGCAAGGCTGCTATGTAGCCAGTTGGCCCCCAGCCTGCGTTATTCCATCCCAGCTGCAGCACTTAGCGTTTGTCTTTGAACTTCACGAGGTTTGTGTTGGCCCCTTTCTCCAGCCTGTCCCGGTCCCTGTGAACGGCAGCCCTGCCCTCCCAACATTTTCTCCCCGCTCCCTCTGTTTTCATATCACCCTCAAACTTACGGAGAGCACAGTCCGTGCTGTCGTCCAGGTTGTAAATGACAATGTTGAGTAGTCTTGGCCCCCGGGTTGACCTCGGATGGATGCCACTGGCAGTAACAAGTTACAAGGTAGAACTGGGACTGAGGTGAGGCTGACTGGCCTGTGGTTTCTTGACTCTGTATTACAAAGGATCGCTTTGTAATCTGTCTCATGAAGGATACATTTTTCAGACGCTTTGGGAAGTCTTTCCTAGAGTATTCCCAAAAGAAAGCAAAGCAGAAAGTTTTAGGGGCTCCAGACTTCCACTAGACACATCAGAGAGCAGTAAGTAGGAATTTGGTGTGGTTTTCTTTACCCTATCTGGTGTCTTCACTGCTGTTTCCTGCTCTTTCACGCCCTCCATCGTCCATGCCATTGAGCTAGCAATTGCAGAGCGCCACAGAAATTGCAGAGAGTCATTCTGCTGGGATTGTCATCAGCTTCTGGCCTGCTTTGTTTTGCTCAATATTTTTAAAGGAGGACAACTGTACAGTCTTACTGCTGCAATCTCGATCTCTTTGCATTTAAAGAGCTGGGCAGCGCTGTCATCTTCTCTCTGCTGAACTTGCTTTTTGGGTTTCGTGGGGAATAAAGGAAGAAGTAGGTACCGGTTCTTAAGAGCAGTAAGTATCAGTAGCACATTACAGATCCATTTGGAAAAGTCCATGGCCACGTGTGGCGGTTGCATGTGCACACAAAGTACGGTAATGCGCATGGTTGTAGTGTGTTGTTTTAGTGTATGGGAGCTGAGCGATGGCATTAAGAGGTGGGTGCAGATTCCTACTTAGTTAATGAAGATGTTACTAGCTTGGGGGTCTTAGCTTGCCAAGTTTAAAAAACTTTTTTCTTTGAATAGAAGGAAATTAAAATCTTTTCCCTCTAGTTTGTAGGTGAAACTGTTCTTAGACATACAGATGTTCACCTAAGACTCGGTGTAGGAGGGCCTTCCATTGAAGTTAACTACAGAATGACTGACTAAAAAGCAGTTTTCCTGGTTGCTTTCCAGTGGCTCAAGGACAATGGTTTCTCCTGCTGGTTCTTGATGGAGTTGGACTTGATGATCCTTATGGGTCTCTTCCAACTTGAGATATTCTATGATTCTGTGACTTTGTGGTTTAAAGACAGAAGATAGACTGACAGCCCCACAGGAGGGGAGGGATTGGCAGCACTGGGAGAGTTGTAGACAATTTTATGGACCAGTCAGCTTGATTCACTGTCATCGTGATCACAGAAGTTCGTTGTTAAGAGGAACTCGAAGATGAACAGAGTAGCAACTTTGTGTATGAGTTCAGAGAGGCCTTGCCATGATTCCGTTTTCTCAGCACTAAAAGGCAATTAACAGAATATAAGGTTAAAATAAGCTTCCTTTGTAAAAGAAAAAGGATGACGAAAGTCTTTGTCAGGCTGTTAATAGCAGACGGGAAGCATATTTCCCTTGCCGGTACCGAAGGTGTATTTATAAACTTCTCACCCTGACATCTAAGGCAGCAGCTGGTTTAGGTGAAATAGCGTTTGTGTGAGGTTCTGGTTTACGTAGCCTCAGTAGTAATGGGGTTTGGATGAAGCTCTATTTATTGGCTGTGGTTAGTCAATTGCTACAGAAACGGTTGTGCTGATTTAAGAAGTCACCTCAGCTGTTTGCTGGGGACGCAAGGGCAACAGAGACATGCAACGTGCAAAGGCTTCTCATCCATCTTGTATTGAGGCAGGGGAACATAACCTTTCTCTCTTGAAGTTGGTGAAGAGCTCTTTTATGATCTGCCAGCTCTTGGAAGATCTATGGCAGCAGTAACGCCCAGTTTGAACAATTGTACTGCCTCTCCACTTGGCTGTCAGCTTTTTAAGCTGGCAGAGCTTTTTCCTTAGTTATTATCCAACAACTGCCTTAATGGCCTTTCCAGCGCCTACAAGCATAGCTCCCCAGAGAGGGAATTGTGTGGGGGAGTTCAGCAAAGGGATGAATATTTGTTTGCTCTCTGTGGTTTTAATTTCACTAAGTCCCCTGCTGTACTGTGCAGCTCTGTCTCCAGTGATCCCAGCTGCTCTACTGGGTCTTGCTGGATATCACTTCTCATTGCTCTCTTCCCTTCTTAGGACACTGTTTAAGGAGAGCAGGCGTGTACACGGACACCTCACATCAGTCCTGTGAGTATCGCGCAGCATTCCTTTGGAGTGATAACTGGTGAACTCCGTTCCCTGGGGCCCGGGTGGATCATGCAGGAGCACCTGAGCTTGCTTGGCTCCCATCAGATAGTTTGGCGCTGCTTCATTTGGGGAAGGTGTAGGGAGAAGAGTGGTTGTTTTTGTGTGACGTCTGCTAACGACCTTCCTGAGGTCCTTTAGCCTTATAGAAAGCTCAAAGATAAGAACTTTGAAGCCAGGTTGCCTCCTGGCCTTCTTCAACAGACTGGAGTCGAGCCTCTGTGCTAGTCCCTGGGAGGCAGATGAGGGTAAAATGGAGTGTGATGCCAGCAGTGCGATTATTGCTACCTGTTCAGTTGGTCCTTACTGGATTCTGGATTCCCTCTTTCTTGTTGCCTGGTTAAAGGAGGGGTACAGTGAGCTCAAGCTAGTGAAGGTGGGTGCAACAGGCTTGTGGGTGGCAAACCAAGAGAGCCATCAGAATCCAGCTGAGCAGGTGCTTTAGTGCCAAAGGGTCTCATGGATCTTGCTGGCAGTCTGTAATAGATGATGATACGGACTTAGGCTGATGTCTGTTTGACAGACGGTCCTGTTCTTGGCACTGGATGAGCGAGGGGAAGTGTGAGGAGTGTGAAATAGAGCGTAGAGTCATCCTTCCCTCAGCCATACCGTTCCAGCAGTTCAGGGATGTCTTGTACCAGAGATTGCATCTGACCAGGCCAAATGTGCTATTTTCTGTGGATTTGGCAGATGCTTTTGCATCCTTGACTTCTTCTGGGAACCTAAAAGAAATGTGTAACTTTTCTCCACAACAGTCTCTGTATCAGTTTCTCTCTGGGTGTTCCTGTAGTTAGGTCAGCAGTGGGTTCCTGTAGCAGCTCCTAGCTCTGCAGCTGGTGCAGGACGTGTCTGTTGAGTGCTTTCACTGCTCTGCTACCATTTCAAGACTCTGCTCCGCTCCCTGATTCATTCCCCTGTGAGGGAGTTGGGGCTTCCTAGAGCAGCAACAAATGTCATACAGTTTTGAATCCTAGCAACCTGAGATGCTGCCTCTGTTCCCTCGGTTCTTTGCAAAAGACTCAGTGGATCATCATTAACAGGGCCCAAGTGTGCTCCCTAATTGGATGCTTCCCTGTGGGCATTCAGTGAGCTGTGTTTCTTTTGTCTCCCTCAAAACAGGGCGAAGAAGAAAGTTATCGCTCCTACTAAGGTGAAAGTGAAGGTGAGTTCTTTGTTTTCTGGTTCTCACGGTTGACATACACCAAGAGTCAAGTGACTGCCAACTTAAATCCTGTATTTGAGCCTTATATCTATACATTAGGTACAAGGAAGTTGTACTGTGAAATAGCTCTAGTCAGTATTGGGCTTGAAAAAAACACAACTAGAACAGCAGCTAAAATTGATGGCGGCAGCAGCAGTTAGGAGGGAGGCAGGAGGCTGGCAGGCACAGAACGTGTTTATTCTGCCTTTTATCCCCAAATTGGGAACCTTCCCTTCCCTTCTCAGCAGTAAACCCTACCTCTGTTCTGACTCTGCCTTCTCTTGTGATTTTGTTCCAGGAATCTTCCTGCAAGCCAGATAAAAAGATAGCGGTTTCTGTTCCTTCGATGCACTCAAGCAGCACCTTAACTCTGTCTTCAGAGCCCCAGGGAGGAGCTCTGGGCATCAGTGCCCAAACCAGAGAACTCCTGTCCCTTGGGACAGCCCAAGCAGCCAGCAGCACTGGCACTCCTGCTACCTTCCTGGATGATTCCTTGGATGAGGACTTAATTCATAACCCCACTTCTTCCCTCGAAGCAGTTTCCAGGGAACTGGCTGTGCTGAACAGCAGAGCGGGAGGGAGCCCTGACTTTACTCTTCCTGGAGCTCCAAAAGCTCCCCCAGAGAAGATCCCAACTCTTGCATCCTCGGAGGAGAAGAGGACATTTCCAAAGTCCAACCCTTCCCCTACATCCTCCTCTGGTTCCCTCCAGTCTCCTCTAAATTTCCTGGCTGAGCAGGCCCTGGCATTGGGCCAGTCTTCTCAAGACAAAAAGACGGAGAACTCTAATTACAAAGAGCTCTCCTGCCAAGCCTCCCCCAGCAAAATCCTTCCTGATGCACACCAGGCTAAACAGAAACACCACAGCTTGGTCCGGCCAAGCCACGGGCCTCAGACTTCCACCCCAGTGCCGGGTTCTCAGGTGAAGGTCTTTCACTCAGGCAGCCAGCTACAGAAAACTTTCACCTCCCCGGCTACGTTTGTCAAACTGCAGAATCCCAAGTCCTCCTCTCCACTGCCCCAGCGCTCCCTCCTCCAGCAGGTCAAGTCATCAACCAAAGCTCAGAGCTTCCATTCCTCTGCGTCACCAGGCAGCACCCAAAATGCTGGCAGCTCCCACAAGAGCCCAGGCTCATCCTCATCATCTCTCAGCTACGCAGGAAAGCACTCAAGTGGCTCTAGCTCTTCAGGACAATCTTACAAATCGCCCTTTGTTTCTGGTTCCCTCTCCAAGCACGGGGCCTCTTCCAGCAGCTCTTCGTCTGGAGCTTCTGCAAACCAGGGCTCCTCCTCTGGGAGTTTGCTGCCCGGTGCGCAGACCCCTTCCTCGGGCCAGGCGTCCAGCCGCCCGTCCTCAAGCTCTTCGGTGAAGAAGACGCCCGTTTCGCAGAAGCTGACTCTGGTGGCACCTCCCGGAGGTTCAAACGGAGATTCTAGCGGGGGCACTCAAGGGGTGGCCAAATTGCTGACCTCCTCCCTAAAGCCAGCTGTTGTTAGCAGCACCGCATCTTCTACCTCTGTGCCGGTAAGCAGGGGTACGCTGGCCCAGTTGAAAGTCAGGAGAACGCATGGCATTGTGCCGGGCAGTCTCCAGACTTGCTCACACCTGCTGTAAAGTGATGACTTCAAAAGAATTTCCTGAAATTCTTGAATGACTGTCTGGATTTTGGCTGCTTAGGCTAGGAAGTCCTGGCCTTTACCATGAGCTTGCACTGCAAGCTTTCATTTTCAGCTTAAAGTAACAACTAAGCAAAATCCTGTGGTACTTTCCAGACTGCAATTTTTGCATAGGCTGCGTAATGTTTTTGCCCTGACTTAGTGAGTTATGGGGACAGGAGGGCTCACATTTGGGTCAGGAGGAAGTGCAGTGAGGCAAGTTATCACGACAGCTAAAAATCATTGTATAAACTAAAATTATAGCGATCAATTTGTTGTTAGTTAAGTCTGCAAACTTGGCCTCTCTTCAATTATCACAAGTAATTTTAGAATTATTGCCACTTTTTTCACATCTGACCTATAGAATAAATAACCTGGGATACTGGGCTATAAACTCAAAATGCCTACGCAGCTTGCTTTGGTGGTTATCTCTGTCCACTTTCTGTTGCTCCTGGGTTATTCCATAAGCTACTGAAGTGATGTTTGGAATCAAACTCAGCGGCAAACTATGGAATTCAGGGTGTGACAGTTCATTGGGATATAATGTCGCATGAAGGACTCCTGGGTTTCCTATACAGGCTTGAGTTACTCAGCTGTTGTATTTAATGGTATAAGGGCCTTAATTTTCATCTATAGCAAGAAAGTAATCACTCCTAATGCTGTTGTATTAATTTGTTGTTACTGCTCACACCTGCCTTCTTTTGTGGTATATGGAAAGAGCTGGGCAATTAAATGGATATATTTAAATGGGTCTGAAGAACACGTGTACTGCTCAGCCCATGTACCTTGCCTGTTACTGAGATAGAGAGGTGAAAAGCATTTCCTAGTGCTGTCTCTCTCCACGGGAGAGATCCCAAATAACGTTCTTGGGTGCAGGGGTACACCGAACTGAGTTGTCAGCAGTGATACACTGCCAAAAGTGAGTAGGAAGCATCCTCCTTGGAACTTGCAAGCAATGTATAAGTTTTTCCTCTGCCTAATGGAGGTACAGTTCTAGAGTCAGGGAACAAGAGAGTGAAATCCAGTAAGGTCATATTTAGAAGAACATAACATCCAGCAGCAGGATTGCCGGTGCCCTGGGTATCTCCAGATGACCTCACGAGTTGGCAGCTCTTGGGTCCTGGCTGGGAGAGTGCTTCTTGCAAGGAGGAATTCTTGAGTGCTCCATGTTTTGCAGTTCTTCTTTAAGGATGCCTTGGCTTCCCCACTGCTGACTGACTTTTTCTGTTGCTTTTCAGAAAGGAACTAGTGGAGCTGTGCTGCTAACAAGTTCTTCCTCCTTAAGTGTACTGGCTCCATCCTACAAGTCCAGCAATCCAAAGCTGCCAGCTGCCCTGAGCTCCGCCCCATTAGGTATTATCTCTCCTATTCATTCCTTCCCTCTTCATGTCATCTCCTTCAGTTCAGACTCCTCCCCAAAAGCAGGAGTATCAAAGGATGCAATAGTTACGGGCCCTGCTCCAGGAACTTTTCACCATGGCCTTGGCCACAGTGAGTACCCTCCCGCTCACGCATGTGCGTCTTACTTGTACCTGTGCTGTCAAATAACAACGACGCCAATGCTCTGCTGTGTTAACCCATTGCAGACCAACCCATCTCTCCTGCTGTTGCTTCATGCATTTACATCTCCAGCAGTTGCATTTGGAGAACCGTGGGCACATCCCTGTAGCTAGCCTGGAATTCCCAGTAGCTGGAAGCTGAGCTATAGGCTAACGGCTGCAGCTCCTCTGCTTGTTTCTGTCTTCAATGTGTATTTGTTCTTTTTTTTTTTTTTCCCCCCTCTCTTTTCTTTGTTTTTCTCTCTAGGTCTTCTAGCTGGCTTGCACTCCAGCCCCCACCATGCAGCGCCACTCCCACATTCTGCCCTGTCCACTCATTTACCGCAAAGTTTGCCAGGTAACTTGTCAGACGGTCGTGTTTGTCTTCTGCGTTGTGAGTCGTCCTGTATCTCTAGGGGTAAAAGCAAAGCGGTTGTCCACGTTGTCTGACCGGTGCGGTCATCGCTAAAACCCGTGGCCTCCCCGAGGTACAAAGCGAGGCGTAGCCCTTGTGTCCTCTCCTGTGTAGTTAGCCAGGGCAAACTTGTGCGTTTCGGGAATGATGCTTATACCAAGTGTTGGTTCCTGGAGGTATTCAGCTTTGCTGCTTGCGTTGAGGTGAAGAATTATCCTTCGAGGATTAAAGCTGTGCGTGTTTATGCACGGTCTGCTAGGACTGCCCAGGAATGCATATTCTGGGTCTGTGGAGTTTTGTTACTGGTGACCTATATAAAATGTGTCAGACCAGAACGTCTTGTGTCTGTGCGCTGAGCTAATTGCTTACATCTCCTTCACGGCAAGTTTGTGGTGTAAATGGAGACTGCTTTACTTGGTGTTGACAATGTGATGATTTTGCAGTTAAGCCTGTTCCTGCCCCAGTTTGATGCCTGTAGAAGCAATGCATAAGCCAAGAGGTTTCTGAAGAATGCCTTCTCTGCTTGGAAATGGGGTGCTGCCTGGTGGGCTGGGAGCATGTGTAAATATGGTAGCACGCTGGAGGAAGGAGAAAAGTGAGGGGGATCCATGCAGTGTTCAGAAAATTGAAATGCAGGGCCAGGAGGTCGGGCTTATCTGCATCGGGGAGTCGCTTACTCCATCGGTAATTGCTATTTCTGCTTTCTCAGTCACTTCAGTGCAGTTCAGTGCACTGTCTTAGTACCTGCTCCCGTTGTGATTGTTGTACTGGGCAATACGAGCCTGATGTAGGAGCGGATGTGCTAGCCTAATACTGTGGCACCGAGGCTGTTAGGTGTGTGGACAACCTGCTGGAGTTCACGTGGCCTCCCGTAGCAGTCGTGGGGTGAAATGCCCTTGACTGCTGAGCACAGGGCTTCTTTCCTGAAGAAAGAGTGAGCTGTGCACCGGTGAAAATTCAAAGAATTTGTTGTCTTTGCTTCTTTTGCTGAAGTTTGTCTGAGGTGGGTTGGTCTGCCACTCCAGTGTAGTAGAGCAGAAGCAGCAGCAATCACTGGTGTGACAGACCCTTCCTTCCTGTTTGTAGATTCACAGTTAACTGGAGAGGGAGATGGTTGATTTCGGTTTAAATGTAGGTTGTGAAACGTATTCTGTGTCACTGAGAAGGGAGTTCTCTGTCCCGTCATTTGAGGGAACTTAGAGTAGTTACTGGAGTGTCAGAAGCTGTGAGTAGACAAGAGGTAACTAGGAATAAGTGAGGAAAACGTGACCATTGAGACAGCTTCAGCAGGGACCTGCTTTTTCACCTGGTGTTTTCACATAGAGATTGGAGATGGAGCTTAGTACTATCATCTCTGGGAATATTATCAGTTGTAGTGCTTTGTAGAAGAACACAGGAGGTATTTAAGCAGCCACCCTAGTTTTACAATGTATTAATTTGTTTTGTGGCATAAACTGGTTGGCCATGTAAGCAGATGGCCGCAGCTGCATTGCTGTGTCTGAAAGCTGCGAGGCCTCTGGTGCGTTGGGAGGTTGCTACAAATGCAAGGAAATGGTGCTGTCTTAAATGAAAACGCTTATACCAGCATTCATCAAAAAGCGTTTGAGGGAGAAGCATCCGCTGCTTGCTTGTGTGGTGTTACCGCTGCATTTGCTGGTGGAGGTGCCTGTGTGCTGGTGCTGTGGCGATGGTCCTGACCGCTTGCTTTAGGAATGTGACGTGCTGGGGCTGAGCTCGTGCATGGAATGAACTTCCTTGTCCTGGAGAAGAAGCTGTTGCTACGCTGCTCGGTGTCACTGCTGCTTAACTGCACATCTCAGTACACCCATTTGTTCATCGTAGTCTGATGGTAGTTTTAATTGCTCCTTGAAAACTTTTGCTTCCTTAAACTGCCTTCCTTTTTCTCTCTTCAGTGCACTTGCTCTTTTCCTTCCATGTCTGTTCCTTTCTTTTACTTGGTGATTAGATTCCTGTGATTCCAGTTGCTATTGGTGGGCACCTAAAGCCTTCCTTACAACAGCAAAGGTGTACTAACGGTGTTATTTCAAACCACCTTTAGATGCAAGGCAGCAAGTACCATGTATTTCTAGTTTCCTGGATGGGGAGTCGGGTGGCTTTTAGAGAAGAGCATAGGCTAGCTAGTACACCAGCAATCCGAATCTGTGCCGTGGTGCTTTTGCTGGGAGGCCGCAGGAACTTCCCATGTCCCTTACTCAGGCGCAGAGGCAGGGCTGCTCCCAGGTGTAAGATGTCTCCAAGCACATCCTCTTAACCCCCGATTCCCTTCCCTCGAAGGGAAAAGTAGATCTTTCTATGCGGAGAGATCTGGCCACCCCAGCTGCACACAGCTCCGTGGAGCTGATGCCTAACCCCCTTCCCACTTGGTTTTATTTTCTTCCAGATGCTTCTCAGCTTCACGGCAAAGGGTCCAATGCACAGCAGCGCAAGTTGTGACGTCTGCAAGGAGGGGAGCTAGAGCACACATAGGATAAACCCAAGAGGAACAGGTCATGAACTTTGGATACCGGCTGTGTCTTTTTTCTTTTTTTTTTTCTTTTTTTTTCTTTTTTTTCTTTTTTTTTTCCTTTTTTTTTGTTTCCTCACAACAACTGGAGAGACTGAACTGCAATGAAGAACTCATTGGTGCGTTTGCTCAGAGGCTTTCAGAGCTAAGCCCCACGCAAAGGGCCACTTTGAGCCATGCCCTAATGAGAGAAGGATTTTGTAGCACTGTTTTATTGCTGCTGCCCGTCGCGCATTCCCTGGCACTGGCAGGAGCTAGAACTCGCAGGGAGACTCAGGTGGCTTGGCTTTCTTGCAGTGGATCCCCACCCACCTGTGTGTATCTGCCAAGTACCTCCAAGTCCAGTTGCCTCTGTGGTCTCCCGGTGGAGAGTATGAAAGGTGCTTCTTTCTTCTGCTTTGGATTTACTTGGATAATTCTAGCACTGCCAGTGCTTTATGAAGACATTTGACTAACTTTTCAATTGTACTATAAAACTGTGCTACAGAGAATTGGAGGACTTAACGTTTCCTGTGTGGTGAATCTACCGAACCACCTGATGTTCCCCTCTGGAGGAGAAGGAAGACTCTTTAGAGAGACATTTTTAGATGCAGTCACTGACTTTGAGAATTCTACGTCTTTAGTTTTGGGATTTTTTTTTTTTTTCCCTCCTGCTCAGTTTTATCTTCATTACCATCGAATGCATTGGATTGAATGGGATGCTTCTCGGCATGTCACATGTATAGGAAGACATAATTCCAGTGCCTTTTATGGTGGAGCAAGAATGGACTAGCGACACACATTTCAGCTCTATTTTGTGTGCTCCTCAACCCTTTTTTAATCATTCTGTATTTAAAATGTATTCTGTTTTATTTAATAGAGCTTTTTATGGTTGCACATCAAAAAAGAAAAAAAAAGCTGCACTGTCTGGACTTCAATGGTGTCTTGGTGACTGCAAACACAGTACCAAATCCAGCAAGAGCACCAGTTCTTACCGAGTTTGTGCAAGCAGGTTCCAGACCCTCCCCTAAAGCCATTCTTTCCTAGGGTCATCAGTTATGATCTCTTTGGTGGGCAGAGGGAATGATCTAGATCAACCGAAGTCACTACTAGTCAAATGAATTCCAGAGAATAATATTGCTCTTCTTGATGATTTCTGCACTAGGATCATGTGCTCGTCACAGCTGCAGGAATGGGGACCATCTAGAATTGGGGTGTGTCTTGTCTTTTCAATTTTTTTTTAACTCTTAGACCTTCTCCTGAGCACACCCTTTCAGTCTGTGTGTAGTGAAGGGCAGGCTGTGGTTCCAGCTGAGCTTTTTATGGGGTTTGATTCTT